CTACTATAGGAGACATAACCATAAGATTTGCAACATTTGGATCATCGATAATCTATTCACAGCAATTGGGAACCGGATACACAGTTTCTTGATAAGCAAGACTCCATGTCTCCAACGTATAATATGGAGAACACAAGTCATGTATAACATTCGCTTTACCAACCTTATAAAGTACTGCAATTGCGTGACTGCTTGAGATCTTATCGATATCAAACACCATGTAACTACAGGTTCTATCTTCGATACTAACAAAATATTTTTTTATCTTTTTCACCATTTACCTCAAACTCCTCTATAAAATGTTCAGCACAATGACCTCATACGTATATGCAGTCTCATACATTTCAAGTAACAATGTGATCATTCTGAGATATGTGACCATTATTACCAATATGATCATTTTGAAATATGTAACTATATGACATTGTGTCCATGTGACCTTGTGACCATGTGACCTTGTGACCATGTGACCTTGTGACCATGTGACCATGTGACTGTTGTGACGCATATGACCCGTTGTCCTAATAACCCGTGAATCATGCGACCAAGTGACATTGTAACTGTGTGATCACATGATCATGTGACTCGTAATTCATTTCTATAGTGTCATGTATGAGTAGTGTTTTGCACATTGTGACCCGTTTCTATAGTGACTCATATGAGTGTTGTGTACATTGTGATCATTATGGCATATATACCGATGCAGATTCGACAGATATCTGTGATTACAAACGATAGAACTATAGAAAAAAAAACAAATGGAAGAAAAGAACCATAAGAACCATCAATGTGGATTAAAAAAACCGGGATTTCGATATAAGCTTACCTATTTTCACTTTTTTCACTGATTTCGCCTTTATTTTTCCGTGAATTTGTCCGGATTCGGTGGATTTTGAAGACAAAAAAATAAGATGGGGAGGAGAGAGAAAACACTGTAGAGAGAGCTTCGCGATAATGGCGAGAGGAGGAGAGAGAAATTTGTTTTTGGAGGAAAGAGAAAACCTAGAAAAAAAAGATTTTTTATTAATTTTTTTTAATTTATATCTAAAGGGTATTTTTGTAATTTGTCAATTTAGAGGGTAAATTGGAAGTTGAAATTTTTTTTTTTCTAATATAAGGGTGGTAGTAGAAGTGCTTATAGCACATTGAGGGTAGAATGGAAGCCCGAACCTCAAGGTTTGTACACCATGAGGTCCACTGGTTTTTCAATATTCACTGTACGTTTTCCCATAGCCGTGTGCCCTTGTTTAGATTTCGATATAAATACTCGGAAAAAAAAACATGTAGTTTTTTTGTCAAGAAACTTACCATTTTATTATTGAGCAGGATTATTTCCTTTTTTTTTTGGTAAATGAATTTCTTCTGTATATCAAAAGTAATGTTTACAAAATGGATCCAACCAAAACTATACAGAAACGGATACCCATATCACAAAAGTCAAGGTAGCCAATAGTGGCTTTTTTTTTTGGGGGGTTC